TATATATATATATATATATATATATATATATATATATATATATATATATATATATATATATATATATATATATATATATATATATATATATATAATATATATATATATATATATATATATATATATATATATATATATATATATATATATATATATAATAATATAATATATATATTATATATATATATATATATATATATATATATATATATATATATAATATATTATATATATATATCCGACCGGCATTTGTTTTTAAAAGTTACGTTCTAAATGTATTTTAAATGTCTTTTAAACTTCTTCTAAACATTCTTACGTAAAAAACGTTTAAAAGACATTTAAAATAAATTTAGAACGTAACTGTTAAAAACAAATGTCCGTCGGGTAATTGTTTAAATTTATATTAGGCCCCTTATTAAATTTGTTGAGCACTCTTAATTGTATCTTAACATTCCGTGTAAATATGGAAACTAATAATTTCACTTTCTCCTTAAAAAATATACCTATACTAGACGAAAAAAGTTATACTATTTCTTTGATTGAAAAAGTTGAGCGTTATATACAAAGAATTCGTTGGAAACCGCATTTTTTTTTAAATTCAAATACAAACACAGATGATGTATTTAATAATAACTAAATTAGTGATACTTATGGATTTAAAACAAAAAATACCCTACCTTTCATACCTGATTTGGAAAATTTTGAAAATGACCTATTGCATTTAATTAAAACAATAAAGTTTCGCGCTATAAAAAACAAATTTCAAATAGAATTAAAGTTAGATGTTAAAAAAAATTAAATCAAACCCTAATATTTTGGTTTTTGCCGTTAAAACAAATAACATTTACCGACTTACAGCAGAAAATTATGAAAAAATTTTACGCGACAATGTTACTAGTTCTAATGAGAAAGCCCCTAAAAATTCGGAAAATGCAATTAAATTATAAGCGCAAAGTATTGCTACAAAATAAGCCTCGTTACCAAAATCGAATCAACTGCTCCTGCGCAAGCCTTTGTAACACTAAAAGACCATTAACCAAATTTTCAAAATAAACTTCCTTCTAGGTCATTGGTTCCATCAAAAAATGAGATTGGACATTTAAGCAAAATTAAATTGGTCAAAATTAATAATACTCTTAGAAATAAATTAAATTTGCAACAGTGAAAAAATACCACTGATGTTATAAATTAGTTTTCCATAATCGATAATATAAATGACTGTAGATTTATTCAACTTGATATTAATGATTTTTACCCCTCAATAACTGCAGCTATTTTAGATAAAACAATTGAATTTGCAAAAAGCCTCACAGTTATTCCTGAAGAAACAATTTGCATAATAAAACATTGTAGAAAAACCTTACTTTTAAAAATATTGGCTTTTAAATTGAAATAAACATAAATTTAAAAATGGTGAACTTTTTTGATGTCACATTTAACCTCTCGAAACATATAAGCCTTTCAAAAAACCAAACGATGAATTATTGTATATTAATATTAACTCAAATCATCCACCCCAAATTCTAAAATAAATCCCGATTTCAATTAATAACAGGCTTAACCAAAACTCCTCTAATGAAAATGTATTCATTTCCTCCTAACAGATATTTGAAGATGCCCTTAAAAAAAGTGGTTTTGAAAACTTTGAATTAAAATTTGACCCTGAAAAAAAGAATACAAAAAAGCGAAATAGAACTAGAAATGTAATTTGGTTCAACCCCCCATATAGCAAAAATGTTTCCACAAACATCGATAAGAATTTCCCGCCCTCTAATAAATTACATAAAATTTTTAATCGAAATACTATTAAAGTTAGCTACAGTTGCGCAAAAAATATGGAAAGAATTATAAAAGGTCACAACAATGCTTTGTTAAACAAAAAAGAAATTCAAAATAAAAAAACTA